ACGTGCAGCAATTGTTCTGAAAAGGAGGAAAATATTAACCACTTATTGTTCGAATGCCCGCAATCATGGAAACTGGGGGCATCCTGTTATTCTTGGTGGGGTAGGTGGTGATATGGATCGTTGCAGTTTGTTCAATATGGCTTCAAATTAAGGAACCAAGTAACTTTCAGCAACGAACAAGTTAAGCTTGAGGAAGTAGTAGATTGGTTAATTAAATACAGATCGTTTTACTGGTTGAGGGCAAGCTTGAAACCCGACTTGTCACTGGAGTTATGGAAATCAGACCCAAGACCTGCTTTAAAAGGGAGTTAACATTTGTTTCTACTTAAATTAATTGGTACTGGTTTGTTGATTGTTTGGGTATCAGTTTGTAATGTATAAAGGGTGATGTGATAGAAATTTTATGAGGAATCCACATAAAAAGATGTATATGAGTTTGTATATCATTTGTATTTAAATTAATAAAATTTTTGGTATCTCATTGAATCAAATGGTTATTATTACCTTATTAAGGTGCAGTTCTTTCTTTTCTTTAGAGTTGGATTCAAACCTATGATACCTTGTTCAAAATAATAATAATAATAAAATTTTTGATTTATCAAAAAAAAAAACAAAATTTCTTTTAAACCAAGTAAGCTTTAAAATATATTTTTTTTAACATATTATAATTATTTACAGGTTAATTGAAATAAGAACACAAACGTCCAACTTACAAAAAATGAATAATTCTAACCTAAGATTCAATATCACTTACGAGAGCAGACCGTTGGCTTTAAAATACTATTTACTTCAAAAGAAAAAGAAAAAAAAAATCGTGTGTTAAGAAGACAGGTAATCTAAGCTCAACTAATAGGCTAGAGCTAGATCCATTAGCATGTACATAGAAACTTGGGCTCTAAATTTGACTTTAGATTGTAAATAATTTTGTAATATGAGCTGAGAATTCAAAACGGGCCAGAACTAGGAAGCTCAAAATTGTAATTACGTGAGGCCCATTCAACATCGTGCCCGCCCAAGCCCAACAACCAGGGATCCGGACAGCTCTAAAGCTTGCTAGACAAGCGTTTCGCTCGTACGGCTCTTTTAAAACCACATTTGTTTCCCTCCACCTCGTTCTTCATTTTCTTTCTCCCTTAATCTCTCGCTTTCGGCACCAAAGCAATAGACTTTTTGGTGGTGCAATTGGCGAGGATGGAGCAGCAGAGGCACCAGAAAATGGCTCAGAAACAGCAACAAGAGGAACTCGAGGAGGTGCAGCATGGCCCTTTTCCTGTAGAACAGCTTCAGGTGAAATTCCTCAAAATTCCCCCTCTTTTGACGGTCTTTTTCAAGCTTTTATTTGATCGATTGATTTTTGGTAGTTGATTGAGGACGTGCTCTAATGGGTTTTGGATTGGCTCCCAAAAGTTTGCTCTTTTAATCCGAATTTTGGTGGTTCTCCATAGAGTTTGGGAATGGTGAAACCCTTGCTCAAGATTATAGAAATTGAAATTGGTTTTGCCCTTTTTGAGTCCTTATACTGTGTTATTTGGATATGGGTTTGTTCAATTTTTTTGTGTTTTCCACTATTTTGGAACAGATTAGGGGTGTACTGAAATGGGTTTTCTTCATTCATTGCAATCTCCTACAAAGGGTTTGTCTTGTTGGGGTCCCTTAATGGATTGTATGTAGCCTTTGCTTGTAAGGGTTAGTCCTAAGATTATGCATTTGAAATGCATTTTCCCAGGACTTTAAAGTGAATAGAAACGTTTAGTTATGTTTTCTTTCTTTCTAAACTTTTTTTTTAATGGCATATGCACTGGTGTTTTAAGTCAATGTTTTGATCTGTATTTCTTTTCAACTGAAGGCATCAGGCATTGCTTCCCTAGATGTAAAGAAGCTTAAGGATGCTGGTCTGTGCACGGTTGAATCTGTTGCTTACACACCTAGGAAAGATCTTCTTCAAATCAAGGGAATTAGTGAAGCCAAAGTTGACAAGATCATTGAAGCAGGCATATTGTTTCAAACCTATTGCTTACCTTGTTATTTTGTATGGCCTTAACTATTATTTGTTACAGAATTTCAAACTAAGATGTTTGCTTTGCCTTGAGTCTTGGCAGCTTCTAAACTGGTGCCTCTGGGATTCACCAGTGCTGGCCAACTTCATGCCCAGAGGCTTGAGATAATTCAGATAACATCTGGGTCAAGTGAACTAGATAAAATTTTGGAAGGTAGGTTTTCCCTAATCTTTTTGAAATTTCGTTCAACTATTGACTCTTCTGAAATTGAGTAGTTGTTAACTAGTTGAGAGCTGAAAAGTAATGTTAACATCAATAAAGTACTGTTTTGGTATTGTTGTATGCTCACTTGGCTAGTCTTCTTTCAGGAGGAATTGAGACTGGATCTATTACTGAGATATATGGTGAGTTCCGTTCTGGAAAGACTCAGCTCTGTCATACACTTTGTGTCACCTGCCAAGTAAGGGCTTGTCTTTTTCTTTTTCTTTTTCCTGGCAACTGAAAAAATTATTGATATTGCATATTCATAAATTTAGTAATTTACTGCCATAGTGATTTTCAAAATCCTTTGTCTGTTGGCCACTTATTTAGTTTACTTATATTCCCCAATATTTCAGCTTCCATTAGATCAAGGAGGAGGTGAGGGAAAAGCAATGTACATAGATGCAGAGGGCACATTCAGGCCACAGAGACTCTTACAGATAGCGGAGAGGTACTACCGTACTACACTTATACCTTGAGATGACTATGCTGTGGTGGCTGATGCTAGACTGATAATGGCATTGAATGCTGCAGGTTTGGGCTGAATGGTGCTGATGTCTTGGAGAATGTTGCCTATGCTAGAGCATATAACACAGATCATCAGTCGAGACTTTTGCTTGAAGCAGCTTCAATGATGGTGGAAACAAGGCACTGTCCTAATGTTTCTCTTAACATTATTACCCTTTACCATTTTCCAGAATTAAGAATAATATTATTACCCTTTACCATTTTTCAGAATTAAGAATAATAATCCTTATATTTTGTTTTATTAAAATCTACTAGTGCTGTCCCCCATTTAATAAAATGCTGATATGGTAATGACACTAAATCTTGCGATTTGAAAGTTAGAAAAGTTCCCTTGCTTTTGTTTTGTCAAAGGACATGCACATTAACCAGCCAGTGAAATCGTCTTTCACTTGTCATTCTTTGATTGTGAGATAATAAAGATCTTCTATGATTTGAATTTAGCTGATTTGACATTTATTTTTGCTTAACACTTTGCACACTTGATTAAGTATTTAATGGACTTTGGGCCAACAGGTTTGCTCTTATGATAGTAGATAGTGCTACTGCTCTTTATAGAACGGATTTTTCTGGAAGAGGTGAGCTGTCAGCTCGGCAAATGCATCTTGCAAAATTCCTCAGGAGCCTACAGAAGTTAGCAGATGAGGTAGACTTTCATATCTTCATTCATATGCAAGTTTCATGTGTTTGAAGATACTTTGGCCTATTACAATTTTTGGCTGAGAATTTACCTGCTATCAGAAATTACTTTGTTGCTTGTTTTCTTTCTTCCTCGGTATGATGTGCCAGTTATGTATATATCATATGTGCACTGTCCCCTGATTTAGCTATTTTATAATCTTGTTATTCCTGGCATTCTCTGTGATTGTAGTTTGGAGTAGCAGTTGTAATTACAAACCAAGTAGTTGCACAAGTGGATGGTTCTGCTATCTTTGCTGGACCTCAAATTAAACCCATCGGTGGTAACATCATGGCTCATGCTTCTACGACAAGGTTTGTCACAGGAAATCCATCTTCCACTCTCCCAGCAGCTTTTTACCAAACATTCCTAACAATACGATCTTAATTCTAAACTTTGTTGCAGGCTTGCTCTTCGTAAAGGAAGGGGAGAGGAGCGTGTTTGCAAAGTCATTAGTTCTCCCTGTTTGGCTGAGGCTGAAGCTCGATTCCAGATTTCCCCAGGAGGTGTGGCTGATGTCAAGGACTAACCTATTTGAGCCAAAGTTTTGTTATTTTCTTTTCCTTTTTAATCAATCTGCTCTTGTACCCGTACCATCACAATCACAACTCTCTAAATCCGTCTGCAATGAAACATACTCAATTCTTTTTT